CACCGAAGAGATGAAACCCAATCCTGACCATTGGTACCTAAGGAACAAGCACTCTCCAGGTCAGTCATTAGACCAGTTCTGCCCATCGGAGATACCACAGCAAGGCACAAGACCCTGCAGACAGAATTCTTTCAAACTTTTAAGGACTTTGGTCTGCAGTGATCATTTTCAGAATCAGGAAGATCAAACAGTGAGATCCGCATCTCACAGTGCAGCACCACTCTGGTGAGAGGCATATCTGGGTAATGTTTGGGTTTCGCTTGTTTCTATAAGTCAAAAAGCTTTGACCTGATTTTTTTTTTCCTGCATACCTCCAGTGGAAGTTATAGTACTTGGTTTCAGCTGGACCATATGATAAGAGAACTGTACTCTCTTTTTTCAGGTACACTGTTGTCATTGCAACATGTATGTGTGTATATATATAGGTATGTATATATGGTGACAGTTTCTTTCTGCAGAATCTGAAATCAATTTTCTCTCTAGAATGATGGCTAATATAAAAATAGTGAGGAAGACAGATTTTTATCTTAATATGACATTGACTTAAATATCCATCCCCCACATTTTGAAATGGATGATTAAGATATCAAAATATCCAAAAGCTAACTTTCCACACTGCACATTCTGTGAAATCCTCAGTACATCAACTCTTGATGCAGAGGGAAGAAAGTTCTCATATTTTAGGATTTTAGTTGCTTTTTTTAATCTTTCAAGTGCCAACCCTGCTCCTATATACCAAAGATATGTTTCAAGATATTTATAATTTGTATTTTAATCATCAACACTTTTTTACTCCAACATGGTGAAAGCCTATTAGACATAGCATGTACTGATTGGTAAAACATACCATGTTTGAGCACTGATGATTAAAAAAATATAAAGTTCTTGCAAATACTATTATGCATCAGCTGAATTTTGTATGTTGGCAAATCAAAAAATAATTATTAAAACACAAGAAAAAATAAGATTTGCCTACCTTTCTGATAGAAGAATTTTCGATAATAATATGCACCAAGGTCTACATGTTCAACGATGTATCTTTTTACTCTGTCTAGATGTAGAATCAGATTCTCCTTGGGAACTTCCAGAACTGCTACTCCAGCATTTGTGCAGTGAGAGCTCAGAGTCGACTCAAACGAGGCACTTTCACATCCACTGAAGGAACCTGAATTAGACTTGGAAAGGCTGATCTTCCTCTCCCCTTCCCCACCAATCTCATTACGAAAATAAGGACAACTCATCACAAGTTCATTGCTTTTATCATCCCCCTGGTCCATATTGAGACTTCCTTTTGAATTCAGGTCTTCAGTGCTGCCCATTGGAGAATTGAAACTTGCAGAATGGGACAAGGGTCCAGAGACAAGTGATGCTACAGCAGCAGCAGATGCACCTGTGGTTGTGTTCCTTCTTTTAATAACATTATGCCTGTTGATTGCCGCTTCATTTAAATCAAATAAAATACTCTGTACATCATAATGAGCAAAACACTTTGGACAAGTCCAAGGTTTGACACTATCTTCTGACCTGTTATCCTCAAGATCTGAGGACTTCCCAAGCTCCCCTTCACCTTTGGCATTGCGCAGCTTACGAAAAATGGATGAGTCTCCCGTCTCTGATTTTGAGCGTCTCTTGAGTGGCTTCTCCCTTTCCTTAAAGAGTCTCAGGTTTTCCCTTTGAGTAATAGGTCCATCTATCACATCTAGAGAGAATCCTGAACCCTTGCTTCCACTGGCAATCAGGAGTTCACTGAGCTTAGTTGTGGCTGGGCTTCTCTGGTCAGACTTCTCATCTTTATAGCCCTTCAGTAAGTCAAAAAAACTTTCCCCTGAAGTTCCCTGCTTATCTATGGAAGATGTGCTGCCATACTCCCTGTGCAGAGATGGTCCAGATTTAAAAGTGGGTGAAATACATTCATCAAAACTATCCACATCAAGCTCACTTATGGTAATATCACTGTTGCTGCGCTGTCTTATTCTGCGAAGAGCTTTCCTTGGAGAACTGGGATAGCCATCAGGTGTAAGAAACCTGGAGTCTAGATTCTCAGATTGTCTGGTCTTGCTTTTAAGTGTGCTCTGGATGCTCTTTAACATGACTGAATCACTAGCATTCAGGTTAACAGAGCTTCCCTGACTCCCAGGACTGCTTTTAGAAGACATGCTGTCAAGGCAACTCGATGTCTCAATATCTTGACTAGATCTGCTTGCTTCCTTGATGTTCTCCTTCCTTGGGGGCCAGTCAGCAATCCTTGCCCTGACCCCCATTTTAGGGACTCCAGGAGTAGAGGTAATGTGATGGGAACTTTCATTGCGAGGAGGTCCAACCGGTGCCATGACTGCAGATCCCAAGCTGCCATTCTGTGACCTAAAGCGCCTCATGTAAAAGTCATCCGAGTGGACTTTCGAGGTGCCATCTGTTCCTACCGATACCCCAGTGGCAACAGCCCTTTCGGTCTGGGACCGCTTCAAGCTGGTCATGATCTTGCAGTATGTTCAACCTCAGTAAGTTCCAAGAGAAAACACAGTCATTTCTGCTTTTTAAATATACAGTTCTCTTTTGGAGAATAGTCTCCAAAATATACAATGGTTGCATGAGATCTTAATCATGGACATTTAAGGGCACAGTTAAATGCAGGATGTCTAGAAAATTCCAATATCCAGTAGATTTTGATAACCAATAATTTCCTTTAACTTTTGCATTTTATGAAGTAGCCACGCTCCAGTACATTCAAATTGTTTTAACATCACTTGTGCTCCCAAACGTCAGAGTTGTAATCCAATTGCTTATGCTTCTTTTTTGCCTTGAACAGAGAAAAAGGGAGATAAAAGTATTAATCATTTAATCTATAACTTTTTTGTAGCTGAAACTATCAAAGTTATTATTACACAATATTGATGGTTCAAACATGCTTTTAAACCCTGTTGATCATCTAAAAAAAATACAGAATTGTGCTACATAGTGGTAAAGAGTTTTCTAGATATTGTTGGTTTGCCTTCTGAAAAACTACTTTCACATTTGGATTACACCCCAAACACAATTTTCTCCTTACCAAGTGATTAGTGATACTTTTTAGTTAGGTTAGTGGACAGTTTTACAAAGCACAAGTAGGAAGCTGATTTCCTCAGCTGAAGGATGCATACAGCACACATTTCCTGTAGAAACTGTAAAAGACCCAGATCAGGACTCCAAATTTTGTTTACAAATGCTTTAAAGAATTTACCATTTACAAGTCACACATTCTTGGTTGCAATCAGGCATTAACAATGTCTATTCAAATTTTCCATTAAGGTAAATAACTATGACATGCTAACAAAAAAGGAAGAAAGCTAATTAACAAAAAAGATTACAAAATGATACAGCAAAAGGCTGTCAATAACACTTATTCTGTGTTTTGCACAGCCTCATTCACAGATTAGCTGGATAGTCCAGAAAGCTTCTATTCCCTCTGCCCAGGTTTCACAACATATATAATGACTAAAGCTAAATAGAAACATACTTTTAAATAACTTGGTATCAAAAGTTCCACTTATTTCCCTGGCTAACAAAATATTGTCTGCCACAGCTCCTCTACAATCCACCTTTACAAAGCAGGGGAAATTAAATGCTTTCCCATCCCTCATCAGTACCAAAGTAATTACAAAGCAGTTAGTACACTATCCTTCGAGGAGCTAAAAAAATCAAACCACAAATGCATCCTTGCTGGTAAAAGACAAAAGCATGAGACTGTCAAGATAAAATCTCGCATTGCTGTGTACATCCTTTAACACAAAAGAAGTTAATAATTTTCAAAGGCTGAACCAAATACACAAAACATGGCCTTTAAATAGTTGCCAAATGTGTGCAGAGAGGTGCTGCCGAACCAGCACCGCGTTGCCAATACAGCATTGTCTAGGAATCAAGGCTTGCTGATGCTGCCAGGGAAACCAGCACTTTCTGCAGTCTCTTCTCAAAACTACAGAACACTTTGCACCATGCTAATTCAGTATCAAGCCAGGGCACTTTCTGCCTCCCAAGGCTGTGTGTTTTAACTTCACTTGCCATAGACAGCAACTCTTTGAAACAGCCGCTAGTTATATAAAGCTCTATGAAATGGGACCACTGCACAGCTGCTTGTATAGGCAGAAGGGAAGGAAAACAGAATGAAAACTGATAAGGATTTAGGGCAGGAGGAAGACAGGCTAAAAGGGACAGTGGAGGAAGAGTCAAGCTGAGGGTGGAACACAAACAGGCAGAAGTCTAAGTGTCCACTACCACCAGCTCATCTTCATAGCTTGCAATGAAACCCAGGATTTCTGTTCCTCACCATTCCCCTTCCACCATATCTCTGAAAGCAAAGTATCCATCTCCTCCCCTCAGTGCTGGGCCTGACAGAAACAGACAACTCACTAGTGCAAGTTTCTCATTAACTTGAAGGCAGAAGTTCACACAACAGATCTACGAATTCCCAAGTGTGGTGTTAACCATATCAGCATCCAAATGCTACCAGTTCCCCCCACACCTTTTTTTCCTTTAAAAATTTCAAGGACAAAAATACTAAATAATTAAGGAAATAGATGTAAAATCATATATGAAAAACACAACTAAGTGGTCTGTGGAACTTATTCTTGACCTGTTGTGTGTATGGCGCAGTCACTAGCTGCCCGGCCACACTACATTTTCTGAAGGAAATGCTTTCTCTGTTTCTCACTCAGCATTAAGGACGTCTTGCTCTGGGGACCATTTCATGTTCTGCAGGCTTTTGCAGCTGTCCTACTTCAGCTGCTATAGCAGCTGGAATACAGGCAATAAAATGATTAAGGTAATAGTTGATATCATACTCTGAAGAACTGAATTCCACCCTTGTCTGTGCCTATTTTTATATTAAATAAATCACCTGGGTCAAGTTTTTGGAGACTATAACTACCCACCTGTTGTCGTCTCCCTAGACCTTCCTGCCCCACTGTCTTAACTGGAGACCTACCAGTCTGATCAGAAAGGTTTGATTAGCTCCAACCAAAATCAAGTGAGAACATCATATTTAATAACATTAAAAACTCCAAAAGTGTAGGTCCTGAGTACACAGGTCAGACTCAATGGACAAAGACCAACAATGGCAATCTGTACTTTTAATATTTTCTCATACTATTACTTGCAGAACATGACAAAGACAGGGTGAATCACGGTTGATTTAAATGACCATCAGTTACCAATAACCAGATATCATAAACAGGAAAACCTGCAGAAAGTTAAAGTATTTAAGTAGCAGAATTGCTAACACAAAATACAGAGTCTATTAAAATTAGGTACAACTACAAAATAGGCAATACATTACCTACTTCTAAGGATGAGAGCAGTAATTGCAAAGAGTAACAATTCCTATTTCACCACTACTTCAATATAGAAAAAACAGAATTCAATGTAGAGCTATGCATATCTGCACGAAGAGAACATGGCAAAGACAAACTAGCACAACCAAGGAAGCATGTGCTTCTCAATTCATCTGAACTTACTGAGGGCAGCAACAATACTCATACACAACTACATATAAAAAACCCCATAAATAGAAACCACATGCAAAAACTTCTAAAAGGGGTATATTTAAATTTAGTACTGATTATATCAATTAAAAAACATTGAGATCAAGCTTGGAAAGCCGACAATCTGCTTATCAGATTGCATGCAGTAACTAGTAAACCAAGCCACAGATCTGTTCAAAATGGGTCTCAAATCCTTAGGACAAAGTTTATTCATTTTTTTTACCAGCATCTGAGTGCTTCACATCTGTAGCTCATTTTAAATTAAGAATAAACAA